ATGCTAAGCTAAGCTAACACCTAGCTGTAGCTTTATATCAAGCGTACAGACATTAAAATAATCTTCTTGTCGAACTCTGTGAGAAAATAAATACGCATATTTCCCAAAATGTCCAACATTTTCTTTACCTACTGATGTCTGAACAACTGTGGAACTGATTTTAGGCTTCTTCTTCTTTCTTTTTTACTGAACTATCTAAACATTTCATGTTTTAATGTTTTTCAAACAGATTTCCTCATGTCTTTTTCCTCCAGCGTTTCTACAAAGAATATACTGAAGGGTAAATAGTCACCACATGATGCCTTTGCTTTACATTCTTGAAAAGATAACGTTCAACTATTAATTTTTTTCTTGATTAATTAGAGAGATTAAGTGTTTGGTCTATTTAATGTCTAACCAACATACCAAAGTTTTTTTTAGTTTACTGTCATAGAAGACTATTAAAACCAGAAAATATCAATCTTTGAGGGGCTGGTTCTAGTGTATCTTTTGTCTTTTTTTGCTTTAAAAACACTAAAACAGTTGCTGATTAACTTCTATCTATCAACTACTAGACGGTGGTTTTATGCATTTTAGCAGTAAGCAGATTCCACATGCAGCACATCTACAGGCTGACATTAACATGCAGATGCAGAGAGACACAGATGTCTGAGCTCTGTTGGTGCTGCTGTCTAGCCATTCAGCACCAACCACTTACAATAAGCCCGCCAGCCTCCCAGGGCGAAGTATAGCTAGAGAGCAGCCACAGCTCGCCTCCAGTGACTCTCTGATGTCCTCCCACACACTCACCCTACAGCCACAACAAAGACTGTACCCTAATCACACCCACTTCCCCCTCGTATCGACTGATCCCCCTCAGAACTACAGTACTAAATGCCAAGAAATTACACATCCAGTACGTTGATTCGGGCTTTCTAAAAGCCACCTTAGCTTGGGTTTCATGCCTGCTGGGGTGAATGTGATATGAAATAATTGCATACAGTCAGAAGTCCATTAAGTTTGAGGAGATAATTACAAAAAATTCAGACTAGAAAGGCACCATTTAAATTTTCTTTTGATATTTCACTGCAAGAGAAGAACTATCAGAAAAGCCAAGGTGAGCACTTATGATTCTGCTCTCAGTGTCCCCCATTAACAAAACCTTACAGACAAAACAGTAGCGCTGCAGTCAGATAGGATTTGTTGTTTTAGCACACTCTCGCACATTCAGTCCGAAGAGAGCAGAAGAATTGAAGGAAAAGACTTTCCCATTCAGCTTTTCCCACGGTCAGATAGACAGAAGAGTGTTGATTGACACAGTGGGGTTATCACTGCACTTACACGGGAAATATGGTCAAGGAAACCTCACAGGACCCCATAAACAAACATTTTAGCACATTTTGTGGCGTCTGAACCTACAAACACAAGACATGTTTTGTTAAAGAGCCTCAGTCGTCACATACATCTTTATTCAGGCGCAAGGAATTTTTAAAAGGTGAATTCTACCCATTTTAGCATTTTAATACCCCTAACTCCCAAAATGGCCATTTACTCAGCCTATATTAATCCCTTGACTGAAGCATCACAAAGCTGCTATAAAGAAGAGAAAATACAAGAAAGCCAAGTGTTAAAATTCATGGCCTCCATCCAGCCGTTCAGTGAACTGCTTTCCAGCCAATTTCTGCTTCTGTGTTCTTTCCACTTCTCCATCCAGCTATACAATGATGCTAAAAACAGACACATGAGTAATAAAAACACTTCAGATTTCAAGCCTGTTGCTGATTTTCTTCCATTTTGAGGCCAGGCCCTGTCTGCTCAGTGGCATGTTAACTGAGCAAGAAGCGCCAACTCTGATTAGTGAGCGCAGTAAACATGTACTAATGAATTCCATGCTACAGCTGAGTCCCGCAAACAATGCAAAGTGGCACAGTTTATAGTTTCATTCAGTGTGTAGCTAAGTTTAGCTGACAAATATCTGCAGGTTAGTCTCCCCTTGTTCCAGCACCAATGATGTGTCTTACTGATCTAATGTGCCTCTGATGTTAGGAATAAATATGTAACATCCGATTACACTTTCAAAATAAAGGTCACAGTTTGGTTAGGTTTAGGAAAAGGTCATAATTACGTTATGTACCTGACAAATCAATGTTCTCTTGACTTCTGGTTTCACAGGGGACTCGAACAGCGGTCTCCTCGGTGAACATCTTATGTTTGAGTGACCCATCCATCTACCCTGACCTCCTTTCTACGTGTACTTGCACATCTCTCTCTATCCTCTAGTGGATCAGCGGGTCTATTACATGCTTTGGTTTGGATTTATTTGCAAATTTCAAGCCTGAATATTTAGTACACCGATGTAACTCGTAATCTACAAAAGGCCTCTTAGTTCAGAAACTTTACTGTCATTTCCTTGGTTTGGGGCCCAGGATAATCAGTAACTCTGATCACCCAAATGCAGCTCCCCTCCCCACACACACTTTCAGCTTCATTAGAGGAAGTCTGTGGGAGTCTTATCCGTTTATATACCATTTATTATTCTTAAAGAGCATATGTTGGCTCTTTTCTCTGTTGATTGGTTCACTGGTGCAGAACAAATTATAGCCCCGACTTTGAACATATAGAATATACGGTTTGCATGCGTACTTCAAATACAGGCGTGAGAACACAGTCCCTAATGTACACACACAAGGACAATAATTTGCTGGCATGCAAAAAAGCTCCCCAGAACTCTAAAAAGCAGAGCTCGTCATTGGATGGATTCACGGACACTGAGCTGAAAGGTCCCCAGAAATGGCTTTGACATCGTAAGTTTTGTTCATAGTCTTCTGAGGTTTGTAGTGAAGTCATGATCAAGATTTTAATTTTGAGTCCAATCTGATACTTATATTTACCTAAAATTTAATGCTGTTTAAATATGTATCTGAACACACTGAAGTAACAGCTGTAGACCACTAAATCTGACATTTAACATGAGCTACTGAGTCCAAAGGGAAGATTTTTTTAACTGGAGAATGTCACTCCTAAAATTGACGTGACACAATCCACTCTTGAAGAAGGTGTAACTTCGACTTTGGTTATTTATTTAGCACTAACTGCCTGCGCTGTGATACCGGCATATCGAGGTGTGCATGTGAACAATGTTAAGTGATGTGTGCAAGACGTCAAGAGGCACTGAGAGTGTGAGTGAGTGAGTGAATGAGAGCTCTTAATTACTTTAACATTTATGGTAAGTTATTTTAGTAATTCACACACTGCACAGAGCTGCACGTAATCTCTCTGAGCTTCTGTCATATGTTTCCACTTTGATCACAGACAGTGGGCCTCTGCTGCTCTCTGACATCCTGTCACGTGATTCAGTGACCGGTATCTCTTTGACCGGCCTCATATATGGTGGGTACACTGGTAGAACATGCGAATACCTCATTTTTGAGGGAACATTTATGGCTAGGGAACAAAATTAGTCAGTACTGAGTGGCTGGTAACATTTAAACATTCACTAGCCATTTGACTGGTGGACAAAACAGTTAATTTTTCACTCTGTTTATGGCATCCATATGGTTTAAGTTACAAAGACAAACAACATTTGGACCATGATGACATACTTTGACACACATAAAATAAATGAGATACTGTGTATGCAAAGTTGACTTCTTGTTTAACTGGAGTAAAACTAATGAGGTGTACACAATATAAAGGGTTCTTCCCCCACTGGAGTATGCCCAGTATCAATTTCATGGTAGCAAATGGAAATCCCCCCAAAATATACTGAAAATGTATTTAATGATATAAGGATTATAGGAAGCTATGCCAGCTTAAGGACCAGATTCTGTTACCATAGCCCCTGCACGCACAAGTGTAAATTAAGATCGATGAAATAGGTCAAACTGTCTAATTCCCACTTCCATTCAAATTCAGGGCAAAGCTTCTTGGTCCACATACATTCAGACTGATCAGACTAATGTGAAAGTCCAGATGAGGGTCTCTCCTGGCTCTGCTAATCTCCCACAGTTTAACTGACAAACTGTTATCAGACTAGCTCCATTTGTTTACACTACACTACCTTCAAGGCCTTCAGCCCACAAGGCGGTTTGGATTATCTGCTCAGAAGCATACTGCATGTGTGTTTCAGCACTAGTATCATATAATAACTGATATGAGCCTCCGAGCTGCAGCCACCATGTGAGTAGTAATCCGGGTGAGACATGCAGCTGCACAGGTTCACTTCATTCAGCTTTATCACTAAATCACACATCAGGTCTGTGGCACTAAATGCTCTGAGGTCAATTTATTTTTACCGTCAATGACTGCTTTAATAATTACTGGTGAGTAATTATAGCCCAATGGGACATTTAGCCTCAAACTACTTATTGTCCTTAAAGTCACTTCCTCTCTTTATATTCTTCTGTTTTCTACACTGTAGTAAATCTAAAGTGATGTTTTTACTGCTATTTCTGCTACATCTATAATATTCCATGTCACTGCATATATATTTTCCACAATAACCATCATTTGTAGTGGTTTATCTCCTGTTGATCAATATATAACTCAAACATTGCTATAGGTACTTGTTTTTCTTTCTTTCTTTCTTTCTTTCTACATTTTAAGTAAACGGATGTAGATCTTGCCATGCCTGTGCTTCCATATGAAAGGCTGCCAGTCAGATATCTTATCAATTTCCACCAGTTTAAGGCTTCAGACGGCGCAACGAGATACAGCAACTTCAAAGCCTTGCAGCAAGACATCAAACACATGGAAAAGGTGCATGCATGGAATTGTAGTCTTTGGGGGGTTTTTTGGTTGTTGTTGGGTTTTTTTTGCCAGGACTTCAGTGTTTCTATACATGATTCTGTATTTCTGTGAAATGCTCCTTTATTGTCGGGTTTTAAATCATGACAACGCACTCTGCTTTTCTAGGTAGGTCTGCAAAAATAACCACAACATCCTGGCTCTAATGTCTCTGTGTGCCCTGACTCACACACATCCATCCATGCCGTCCATGGGGAAACCAAAAACAGCCTTACCGTGATTGTCTTCATCCATATTGATTGAAGCAGTGACAGTCCGGCAGAAGGTGGGTCCGGCTCAAACCTGTATGGTAATGTGTTTTTCTGAGTATTTTTCAACGGGACTGTCTTTGGCTTTTCCCTCGCTGACAGGCAGCCGGTGTGTTGACAGACGGAGGGGTGAAGTGGAAGAGATGTCAGCGTTGAAATGAATGGAAAAAAAGAAGCCGAGAGTCTGTGTGTGAATTAAAGGAAGGTCCTTAGATGTAGAAGGGCTGTTTTAAAGGTGTCTGCCCGCGGTGTGAGAGTACAGCGGCGGCGCTTCTCCCTCTCTGCTCCATCCTCAGCTGCTCAGTCTGCATTCACATTAGCTACACTGCAACCACCACCACGTCATCTGGCCCCGCCCCTGCTAACAACACCCCCACACCTACACTCTCACACACACACACACACACACACACACACACACACAGTCACTAAAAGTAGTTTAATTTAAACATATTGAATTTAACTGTAATGAACCCATAAAATATCCACTATGCTTAACAATTCACCTCCCCTCCACCATGGTGGTCACAAGATGATAAAATGCCCCTAGGGCGGCCTTCCAGTGGACAAAAGTGGTGGTTTTCAAAGTGGGGTCCAGGCACCGACAGGGAGGGACCCCAGTAAAAAGGGGGGAAAAAAAGAGAATTTTAACCTATATCACATTTTTGGAAGGTAAGAAAAAGGGTTGGCTGTTTTTATTGATTTTTAATTTCCATATACAGTTTGCATGCATACTTCAAATACAGTACCTAATGTATACACATGAGGACAATGTGCACATTTGCTGGCAGGCAAAAAAAGCACCCCAGAACTTTTAATTCACAGTGATCCCAGTTTGATGAATGAATAACAAGCATAAAAATAAAAAATAAATGACTCTGATGGGATTCCTTAAGACAAAATCGGCTAATGTGCATCTATTGTTTGGGTCACTGACATGAAAACATTTGAGAAGCCATGCTCTAGGGTACCGTTCCAGTGGAGGAAACATGATGCAGCGCCCTATAGGCTGCCATTATGTTAGAAAAGAGTGTGGATCACAACTTTCAGCATACAGCTGGTTTTCAGCCCTGCTCTCCAGACAGCCTGCATCCGCCACTGCCCCCAGGTTATTAAAACATAATTCCCAGAAGTAAAAAAAGAAACACAGAGGAAGTGTTCTCGTTGTTTTTTATACTGGCTGTGACCCTGGTCTGATGGAGGATGATTTTCAGTTCAGTTACAGAGTCCAATAGGTCATGTTGTAAATAAACATGTCGTAAATAAATTCCCAGTTTTAGCATTATCTAATCAACTTATTTGGAAGTTGAACATAAAGGTGAATGTTAATTATTACCCTGTCCGTCTTCAGTTTGATTCAGATGTTGATTTACAGCGTGTTTGACCATCCGTGTGTCTGGCCCTAACTTGTTCTGTTCTAATAATGTTGCCACACCCTTGGGATCAGGAGTAGACTGTTACTGTAATTGTTAGGAATAATGATGAAAGAACCTCATTAGATGTTTAAAAAGATTCACTGTGTATTCTGATAACTACCCCTGATTTTGTGGATTAATGGGTATCCAAGGAAGAATTTCTCGAAACAACCTCAAGTAGTGGCTGTTCTGGAGCTTTTTATCGTATCACACAACAAGGTCGAGAATGAACTTTCAGCCTCCATTTAGCATTAAGTAGTCAGAGCACATGCCAATACTTCATACACATGTGCCATTGTCATACTGGGTTTTCAAATATTTGCACACAACAGTGCCTCATTATTACCATCATCTCTCCAAGGTAAAGAAAAGCTCTATTAACCTCTGTGGGCTGAACTTCTGACCTCTGCTACATGATGTAGTGAGCTGTAGCCACCATCTTGTAAAGTCTTTATTTGAGTATTCAGTTTGTCATCTGTGAATGTAAACAACAACCAGAAACAGTAATAGATGAATAACTCTCAACTTTGTGCATTTATAATGTGGCATTTAAGTATTTATAATGAAGATGACAATAAAGTAATCAGTTTTCACTTGCACCAGCCACTAAGTAGATCCATCTGAAACTTACAGACTCTCTTTCAGCCTGTGTTTAGTTACTTTTTAAGGTCAGAGGACAGGCTCAGTCCGGGGTTAAACCTCTTAATCAATAATGTGAAGGTAACAGATAAGCATATGAAACATACCTTTGGTTTTATTGCAGATCAGATTGAGCTGTTTTTCCTCTTAAAGCTACTTGGACCATGCAATTAAATCACAATATTGCAAGTATGTACTGATTTAAAGTATTTGCTCATTTATGATCCACACCTTTGGTGAACTGCTTCTTATAAAAGGTTAAACTCTAAAAATCTACATAGAAGGCGTTTCTCTGATTCTGACCTCCTTCGTCCTCCCCACTTGTCTTTGTAGTGATGCAGGCATGACGACACCTTTGACAGCTCATGGCCAAAGGAGTCCTTACTGAGGTACTTCCTGTCTGTCCCTGCCCATGTGAGCTCATACTCACTGATGCTTTTCCAGGGAAGATCCTGGCCACACCAGCAGTGATGTACTGCGGGGAGGAATATGAAAGCAGGTTCTAGCGTGTTGTCCTGGGTTCAGGAAGGGAGTTGTGCTGAGGACTCATTGTGCAACTCTACAGGGGGACAATGGAAGTAACAGAAAAGGAAGCGATGTGATCATCATGCCCTCCTCCACCCTTACTATATTATGAAATCTGATCTGACCTGTGTGACTTTGCTACCAGAATGTACTGTAACTAAGTACGTTTGCTGAAGAACTACACCTAGTAGGTACAATTTTGAGGCACCTGTAGTTTACTTGAGTGTTTCCATTTTATTGCTACTTGTACTTAATCAGTGCTAATAATTATTGCCCCCCTTCAGTCTGGGTGCTTTCATTCTCAAAAGTGCAGTTATTTTGTAAAACGTCCTTCAAGCTAACATATTGTCACAAAATATTGTATCTGGTCTAAAGTCTTCTCTTGGAGATTGAACCTGAAATGTATTAATTTCCCATTTGGTTTGTTGCTGTCCGCTATGTGGAGCACAATAATTATTTTTGCAGTCTCCATCCCTGCTGCAATAGCTGCTATGCAATGACCCATTTTAGTGTTTTGTTAACTTAGTTTATCCAGTTGAGAAGTTATGACTCAATTTGGCAAGTTGTACACACATCATTACTCATCATCAGCTCTGTATTTTCACTTTCTATAGTGAAGTGTGTTAATTCTTCGGTTTTTCGGCTCATTTAAGTGGACTGCACATATATAGGGCCTTTGTAGCTCAAAGCACCTTTACCCTACATGTCAGCTTTCACTCATTCATACCCTAATAGCAGAGGCTGACATGCAAGGTGCCAAATGCTCATCAGAAATAGAAACTAATCCCGTTTACACACATTCACACAGCAGTTAGAGCAATTTGGGGTTCAGTATCTTAAGGTATCTCAATGACACCTCGACATGAAGTGAAAGGAGCCGGGGATAAAACCTGCAGTGTTCTGAACAATGGACAACCCGCTCTACCTCCTGAGCCACAACTGCCCCATTTATTCATTATTATTTTCTGCAAGTGGCAGACTGACGTAACTGTTGCATGTGTCCATTGTTTCATACACCAGGAATGACCTCAGTGTTCCTGGAATTAGTAAAGTATTAACAGACTCAATTTACACACATTTCCAATCAGTGCAAATTTTCTCTTTTTATTTTACCTTTATTTTACCAAGGTAGCAGCTGTACAAGATAACAGCATATTAAAATACAAGGTAATATACATTAATACAAAATAAAACAAAAAACTATCCATCACGACATTCTTTATGAAGCCCTTAAATTCATCAGTGGACATAAACGCGCCTAATTTTAGGTCTTTTTGCAGATTACTCTTATTATGTCCAAGCTTAGTAAGAAAATGCAGTCTTCCCCACATCTGTCAAAATTCGGGGTACTTTAAAAAACTTGGAGGAACGTAGTTGGTAACTACCAGAGCTTAGACGGAGAAGGGTACAGAGATATGCTGGAAGTAACACTAATGTTGCAATACGCCTAAAAATACACCTAACTTGTAAAATGAGTATTGGTTTATTGAAGTTATCTTTAAGTAAAACAAGAGACTAAGAATGGTAGATTGAACTCAGCCTCACTTGTTTGGTTGTCCTGAACTGATGTCGATGTCAAAGGTAGATTACTGCACATTATATATTTTTTATACATGCAATTTAGTACAGTATGTTCAGTTTATCAGTCTGTGATGGTCAAATGACCAAATGTCCAAAGAGTTGGCATCATTTATTTACCTTTAAATGTCACCTCAAAGAGCATTAGTCTTATGAGCTGGTCACATGTGAATGATACAAATACCGCTCTTTCTAGGAACATAAGTTTCTCACTTAAATGTCCTGCTCTAAATGGATAACAACATACTGTAAAACTCTTTCCTAAGATAGAATTAATGATCTCACATGTTTCTTTCCACTCAAAAGCTCTAGGCATAAACAAACAGACTCCACAGCATTGGTAGTTACAATTAATTTGCAGCCTGTCCCCATAAATTCCTCCTCACACACCCTCGGAGTCTCGCCTGCAGCCAGGAAGCACACTGAGTGGGTTTCACATGATGTCTTCATCTCTCTTTTTCTCTTCCAACGAGTACACAAAAAGTAAAAGGGAGTTTTGTGTCCAAGAAGAGAATGCTGTCAGTTTTGGGAATAATCCTGTGTTAAGTGCAGATATCCGGACCAGAACAGGAAGTAGCTCGATTTCCAGCTTCAGTGGAAAAAAAGGGTGGAGTCCAGCAAGAACTCTCTCCATCCTACAATGAAATTATTTCCCTCTAATCGATGAAACACTTAATTCATCTGCTGTTCACAATGTGCACAGTGTTTACTGGGACTAGGAACACTTGAAAATCAAGCATTTGTCTTCCAAATGAACCAAAGACATATGCCAGCAAGACAGAGTCAAACTGAGGATATCAAGTGAATTTCAAATATAAAAAGAACACAAAGAGCCAAGAGTCAGCCTTTGCTTGGCTCAAGGTGTCTTTGATTCATTTTTGACGCACAAACTTAGCCTCAGTCTGACATAATTGTTGCCTGCACTCTAATGTAGTTATATTTATTTCCCCCCATTTACAAGCCAGCAAAATGTTGCATGGATGCACTCCATATTTCACTGGAAGCGGGTTCCTACAAGGCAGCATATGTCATATTAGAACATCTCATATGCAGCGTCTGGGCATGGATGGACTGACCTCGAGCCCTTCTGAGTGGTCACAGAGGACCGTGTGCGTGTGCTGCAGTCTGATTACAGCACATATACACTCTGTATACAT